AATGCTCTCTCATCTCCACTCCTCTACAAAACCGATCTTAACCCATTTCTTCTTCCTCTCTAAATGCTCTCTCATCTCCACTCCTCTACAAAACCCCATTTCTTCTTCTTCTCTTTTCTCAAGAGAACTTGAGAAATTGAACCCAGTTACTAGGTTTCATTCAAGCCTCAAACTTAGTAAATCTTATCAAATCAAATTAACCATTCAATAAACAAAATAAACAAAATATCAATCAAACTCTAATCAAACTCCAACAAAAATACAATCAAATTGTAAATCAACTCTCAAATTTATTAACAACCGAAAATGAAAATCCAAAGAAGAATGAAAAACATGAATTTAGCACCGAAACAGCAAAGAACCCAGCTGGGTCTCGTCGAACCCAACAGTTAGGTTCGGGTAAACCCAGCAAGGTTGGGTTAGACGAGACCCAGCAGGGTTCATCGGAACCCAGGTTGGGTTCGACGAGACCCAGTAGGGTTCGTCGGAACCCAGCCTTGCTGGGTTCGGGGAAACCCAGCCATATCTGGGTTTCGTCAAACCCAGATCTGGTTGGGTCTCCACAAACCCAGCAAGGCTGGGTCTCCCCGAACCCAACAAGGCTGGATTCCGTCGAGACCCAGCCTTGCTGGGTTTGACGGAACCCAGCCAGATCTGGGTTTCGTCAAACCCAGATCTAGTTGGGTCTCCACGAACCTAGCAAGGCTGGGTCTCCCCGAACCCAGCAAGGCTAGGTTCCGACGAGACCCAGCAGGCTGGATTCCGTCGAGACCCAGCAGGCTGGGTTCCGACGAGATCCAGCATGCTGGGTTCGTCGCAGCCATGGAGACCCAGGGCAGGAAAGAAAGAAAAAGAAAGAAAGAAGGAGAAGAAGAAGGAGGGTGAGGGTAGTTAGGTAATTTTATTTGTTTTTATTTAAATTATAAATATTAATCTACGTGTTATTTTTATTTATTTATATAATATTATTAAAATTTATATTATTGCCACATCATCAAATA